TGCACCTCTAGCCTGTACCCTCGTTCTTGTATGAAAAATAGGTAAGTCTTTTAAAATAAATAAGTGTAATCTGAAGTGTAATATGCTAACTGAATAAAAGCTTCACTTACCTTGGGTCTAAAATTCGTGGTTGGGCCCACGTACTCATGCTGAGCCTTCACGGTACCCCAGGGGTGATAGATTTTGAAGCACTCATTGCAGTAACTCGCACTACAGTCCATGCAGCTTTTTGTGGACTCCTGAGGCGGTGGCTTGCAGAGGTCACACATGATGGCCGTAGCTGCCCTGGCTGCCTGCCGATACCTTTCCACGATAGTTTCCAAAGTGAAATTTCGGAACAGACCGTTGATGCCTCGTTCTCCAAGATCCACGTCATGCTCACAGCCAGGGCAAGGAAAAGTCGTCGTCCTGGGAGTCAACGAGTTACGCTTCCAGCCTGCGTGTCAGGGAGCCTTTGTTTAGTTACATTAGCAGGAAGATGAACAGAACGAAGGATAAAGGAGTCATGTTTTGGGGAGACATATAGCAGAACATATATTCCCAAAACATATTCAGAGAGGCTTAATTTGAGTCAATTTGTAGTTTGGAAATGCTTTCTGGAAAACGTTTTTCCCCACGGCATACAAAAAGAAAGGCCCGTATGACTCAACAGGTTTTAAATCAAAGAGGAAAAAAGGATTTACTCTACTGTAAATTCCATACCCAAATCAACTTAAGTCAAAGAGATAAATCAGCAAAACATTTAATACAATACTACACAGGGTCACAACCTACTGATTTCATAAAATCAGCAGTCACAGTTTTTCTGTAGTTCAGACTCAAAGGAATTTGCTTTCCTCTCAGTGGACGAAGTCTCGGCTGGCTGACAGGAAAGGAGCTGAGAGGCCAGAGGGCGGGAGACCTTCACTGCAGGCGGCGGCAGGCAGATCCCGCCGTCACGCTGACAGATGTGCCTGCATCGGAGCGCCTGTGTGACGTCTGCTGGCTAAACGCCTCCATGCCTTTAGCACAGGGATAAGACACTCCAAAATCAAGGACCTTGGCGAGAGGCCGTGTCCCACTGTAGTATTGTTTTATTTCTGAAAGCTCAGTAGGCAAAATCATGAGTAAGTAGAGCGCAGTCTCTAAACAAAGAGTAAAAAGCTCATTCACAGCTCTAGAATCTAGCAAATTTAAGAGGGACCAACCATTTAATATCTTCTTCTGACCTGAAAAAAAGAATCACTAAGATTACTGACTTCGGTAAGCCAAAATTCACCTCCGAAAAAAAAAAAACACACACACACAAGAAATTTTACACTGGCATCATACAGTAAATAACCTCAACCCTCACTCTTTCGTTCACTATCATCCTGCCTGGAAGAAACGACGGCAGCCGAGCGTGATGGTTCTTACCCACCAGCTGACAAGAATCCAGCTTCGTCCACCGCGCGTCAGATTCCCCCCTTTTACTGAGGGAGCTACACTTGTCCAGGAGAGATGCTGGCCCACTTGTATAGGTGAGCTGGTGGGTGACTCCCAAACAGAAACACACACGTCCTAACGACCACGCCATCACCTGGCACCGGGAATGACCGAGCACACGTACCACACCACACGTTTAGGAGAGGTCTGAGGCGAGCTGCGTGACATGGCCACATCACGTTACTCACGTCGCTGCGACGCGGCCTTGACAGGCGTCTGGCGTGAAACCCCACGGGGACCCCCAACAGGCAGCCTGCGAGCGGTCACCAAGGGGCTGGGCAGCATGCAAGGGGGCGCTGGGCTGGGACGGCACCAAGCATGCAGCGTGTTCACCGCCTTCGCTTAAAGGGAGTTTTAATCTTGATCATTTTAAAGTACCAGAGAGCTGCCCCGAAAAATTCAGTGATTCGACGTAAGCTGTGTTCTCGCAACCACTCAGATGCATGCAGTGACAGTCCGAGATGTTTCACACCACAGCAGGCACAGACGAAGTAGGCGGCAGAGCTACTTTTAAGACGCATGCCAATGGAGACTCCATTGAGTGACAACACAAGCCAAGTACTTCTAGAAATGGCAGAGGGCAGTGGTCAAGTTTAAACGAAAGGAAATTCCCGTTCAGTTGCGTGCTTCCACGCGTGAGCTGGAGGACAAGAACAGAACGGATAACTCATCTCCACAGGGTTCTCTCTAACACGGGCATTCGCACTGGTTTTAGGAATTGAAGGTTGTGATCAATTAAGCCATGGGACAAAATAAGACGATGTCATGACAACAAAATCATGCCGTAACATGTACGCGGGTGACACCTCGATCTTGGTGAGAATTTGCAAAACAAGTTCTTTTATCCCTTTTCTGTCAACCTCTTCAAACATATTACGGTGGGGCAAAGCATCACATGATCTTCAATCAGAAAACCCATAGATCTTGGTGGTTTTTCTAAACAGAACTACAGATGTTTTTAAATAAATGCTAAAGAACTTACAGTTTCTTTCACCTTTCTTATATGTCCACCACATTTTTTCATTAAAACAACAATATTTCAGGCTCTTCCTGGTGGTGCAAAGAGTCAAAGCATCACATTATGAAGCTCTCTGAAGCCACTGCAGCATGAGTTCGATCCCAGCCCAGCAGGTGACCCACGTGGCACGGCAGACCTCTCCTGACCCGCCTGCTGCTCCCCTCAGCAGTGTACTTAGTCAGTCGGCCTGTTTTGCTCCCCACTCTGTCTCTGGTGAAGCCTCTCACCTACCACACCTCTGGCCTGTACCCCAGTTCTGTATGCATAGTTAAAATCTTCAGAACAACAATACTCCTGGCCAAAAAAAGCCTGGAAAAATCTGAGGGTATTTTGGGAAATAAATATAATGGAAAAATATGTCCAGACAGTGGGACTCAGGATACAATGGAGATTCAGAATCGGCTCTTGCTGGGCACAAGCCACAATCAAGTTCTCAGGAGCCGTGGGGGACTAGTGGCTGCCACACTGTGGGGGAGGGGGGGTCCTGCCCGGCCCAGGGCACTCTGGGGAGCGGCGCTCCATAGCACGCTATGACCAAGAAAGGCCCGGCCAGCTCAGGAGCAGCAGCTGAGAGTGCTGGGAGGTGCCTCTGGAGACTCAATCTGCGCAGCAGGAGACAGGGCAGCACGTTGGCCCACTGCAGTCTTCCCCCGCACACACCTTTACTTCAAAGACAAACTAAACAGGTGTGAATGAGGACGTCCCAAATTTCTTACAAGTTTGTGGCAAGTGTCACTCACCAACGTGTCAACTTCCAGTCTTATTTGTTTCACCACTGAAATGATAAAAGCCAAGCGAGTGTTTCAAGGCAAAGGCAGTCAGCCCAAGCAGCAGGTTCCCACCTCGCCCCTGCTCTGCCTGCGGGCTAGTGCACCCCTCCCCAGGGGCTGCCCAGGGGGGTGTTTCCTTTGGCATATGCTGGCTGCCTAAGGCCGGTGAGCTCCACGCCCCTGCAAGGATCAGCCTTTCCAAAGTGCACAAACTTTCCATCATCTACCCTTGAGTCAAACATAAACTGGTAACTTTTTTAAGCAAACGGCTGCTACCCTTCCTTGGAATTCTAAATTTCAACACTTAAAACCCTCAGGGACTCAGTGAAGAGTAGAAGAGGATTACATGAGACTCCTAGGCATGAATTTTAGATCAAGCCATGAGATGGAGGAAGACAGAAAAGGGATGGTATTTCAGGTGTTGATTCTCTCCAATGAAAATAGAAGGTATCACCAGCACTCCAAACAGAGCAGCCAATTTTACTTTAAAGGTCAACTGGAATAAACAAAAATCCTTTGAATAAGATTAGCCCATCTTTCACACAGAATTACATACTAGAGAAAGTCTAAGGCAAGCAGTATACATTATTTACCCACAAATGGGTAAAACCTCAAAGACTCTCATTGCAAAGGCTTTGTGATATTAACAAAGACACCATATGCCTCAAAATAAGGTTGTTATAACTATGACAATTATCAATAGGTCTAAGAAAACATTTCATCTACAAGAAACAAATGGTTTATTTAACTTTCCCAAGGCAGCAATATAGCTGCTAATGTCAGCTTTGTTCCACTAAGACAATGTAAAGGAATTTTTGGTCCCCAGCCCCAATGTAGAGGAAGTTTAAGGTAACAATGAAAAGTAATGACAAATCGTATGCCATTCTTCACAAGTATAACACATGGGCAACACGCAAGCATTGATACGCCGTGCTACCTTTAAAAACACCAGAATGTTCTTGGAAATTTAGTCCTGTTGACCTTTAAGTCATTTCAATCCAATTTGTTAACTTTCTAAACAATTTTGAAGACTTGACCACTGATGTTTAAAAACGTTGTGTGTACAAGGTTATTTAACTGAAAGCTAAGGCTACACCGCCTGCAGCCACACAAGCAATAAAGCATTTTCTACCTCTCCACCCCACAGATCTCCGTTGTGATGCTGTAAACAATGAACAGAAAGCTGGGTTTAGGATTTAATTTCAAAGAGAAGATTCACAACTTGTTAACAAAAGATAAAGCAGTAACTGTGTTCTGCACAAAATACAATTATTGAATGAATAGTGTAAAAAAAAAAATGTGTTTTTCCTAGTATGCATGGTGCTTCCAACAGCCACCAACATGAGACGTTCATCAAAATTCACCCGCTGCACAGCACTCAGAACGGACGCTTTATTCGACAGACTTATATTTTTGCAGTTGTACTTCTGGTAATTGTAGCCAATCCTAAGTAATACCTAGTGTCTTTTGTTTAGTATTTTACTGATCTGCGTGAACCCTGTAAGTAAACACTTCTAAAATGAAGTATGTGAAAAAGGACAAAGACGAGGAGAAAGCTTGCCTACAGATGACCAAAAATAGCCCTTCATTTTTGTATAATTGAAGATGCTCTTAGTTTTTACAAACAAAAGTTTGGAAAGGGTCCTTCCAAAGCACCTTTGCTTTTAAAATGTCAACAGACCAATATCAAAAGGAAAGTGAATCAAAACTATAAGCCACATAAGTTTTCCAGGCGCCACATTAAAAAAAGAAGAAAAAAATCAAGTGAAAGTAATTGTAATGCATGTATTATTTAATCCAATGTTGACAATACATCTATTCAATGTAAAAGTTTAATATTAAAGATTGTTGTGTTTTTTTTTTTCACTTTACTTGTGTATTTTACAGTGAGAACAAATGGCAATTCAGACTTGCACATTTCAAGGACTCGGCAGCATGTGGTGGCTTAGTGGCTACTGGAAATGGCAATTCAGGTGCAATTACTCCCTTTACCAGGACAAGGACAAAAGGAATTTTAGCACTCTAGTCCTCACACATCACCTGCTTATAACCGGGTTTCTGGATTCCTTCTAATTGATGGAAAAAAGTTTTCAGTGATGGAAGAAAAGCAACATTATTTAAGCCCTAAATTTTCCTTCGAACTACCCAAAGAATAGTGGGTAAATTCCATTAAAGGGAAGGCAATTAACAGCCGAGTGCTAATACAATGGCTTCCACTAGTTAAGGAGAAGGAAGGAGTTCCTAAGTGTGCATGCAGTTAGCAAATGCTAAGAAAGCCAAGGGATTGGAGGAATGAGGGCAACACTAACAGCTTCCACCCCTCTAAACACCCCACTTGTGTTATCTCATCCTGTACTTTACTGGTGGTGAAGGACTGTGTTCTCATTATCCCCTCTCTTATGCAGTTCTGCACAACACCAGGCTGGATGCTTCTTTTAAAAAGGAAGGACACATCTAACACTTTCACTGCTCTTCAGCATTTCGCCATGTCTGGTAACCAGCGGGTACAGCCTCCTGTGTGCCTCTACTCAGTAAGCACAGAACTTCAGGGTTGGAGAATGCAAGGTGGTTAACAGAAGAAATGGCTCCCTGTAAGCCAAAGCAGACATCCCCTCCACAATAACTGTAAATGGTAGTGATCCACCACTGTGTAGAACAAAACACTCCAAACCCTGATGGCCCCACCCTTGGCTCGGTCACAGAGATGTGTTCTGCCTGCCCTCCCCTAAGTTGAGCTGGCAAAGCATTTTTAAAGAATGTGACCATCCGGCACCCCCAGTCCCGCATAATTCACTAGCACCGGGTGGCTCCTGCCTGTTTTGCAAGATGCCCATTCCACCTCCACAGTCCTGGAACAGGCAACCCATCTCAAAAAGGGGAGCAGGAGGGTGGTGACTGCTGAGTTTCTTTATGAGTGAACAGGAAATGAAGTGGTGCGTTCTGCATCTAAGAATGCTGCTGCAGTACTCTACCCAAGACCTGCTTCTTGTACCTCCCTGGCCCCTTCAGCAGCTCAGCTTGACTCCTTAACTTAGACACTGGTAGTGACAGGAACCTGCGCAAAGCAGGCACATGCCTGCTGTCCTGGACAGCCTTACGGCTCATTGTCTCTAGTGCTAAGTTGAGCGTGGCCTTCTGTTCTCCCTGCTTGCTGATCTGGAATCTCTGCTCTGAAAACACTAGTGTCATCCCCAAGACAGCCATCCTAGGCTGTGGTCACGCCTTCTCCAAGTCAAATATTCTTATTCCTATAATTGATCTCTACAGAGAAGTTTTCTAACATCCTCCCTCAGGACATAATCATCACACTTAATAGGGTTCTTCCTGAAGAAGAGAGAAACATATCTCAGTAATTCTATTTCAGATCTCGATACTGTAATGCATCTCTTGTTCCGGAAAAGAATCATGATTATTGAACATAAGCCATCACAGCCATAAACTCTCGTAGCACAGACTTGTCATTTAATATCCACTCAACACATATTTGCTGGACATCTACAGAGTACTGCAGTTAAGTTCCTGAAAACAGAAAGTTAACTAGACCTCACCTAATTAACCTATATTACATATTCCTATCGATCCCACATAAAAACTAATCAAAGCTTAAGACTGAAAGCCTCTAAAAATCCAGGCTTTCAAGAAATACATTATGTTGAGTTCAAATGGATGATGAGTAGAATTACTGGTACATAACTGAAATTCCTTTAAGGTCTGTGCTGACTATAAGTATATAAAATGTGAATTTCCCTTGGCCTGTGAGGCAGGCAGCCCTAGCAAATGAAGATCTACCAGAATGTAAAGTTTACTGAGCAGGCAGATCACAGCTATTCCTTTCTCCAGGGTCCAGGAAACAGAGGAGAGAACTTCACAATGAACACCCTCTCTCCCCTCATCCTCCCTCACCCACTGGGACCTGCTGTTCCACTCTGCATACATGCTTGATTCTTACGTGTTTAAAATTGCTCCCAAACAATGAGTGATTCCCACCTCAAGAAAACACAACTCTTTAAAATAGACCCTGGGTACTTCGCTGGTGGTGCAAGGAGTTAAAGCTCAGCACTATGAAGTTGATCACAGCTACTGCAGCAGGAGTTAGATCATGGCCAGAGAAGTGACCCACATGGTACAGCAGGCCTCTCCTCAACCACCTGGTCAATCCTCTCACCCCCTGCACCTCTGGCCTACACCCCAGTTCTTGTATGCATAAGTAAATAAATCTTAAAAAAAAAAAAAAAGCCTCTACTGTTAGAACCCGTCTGTCCTTAGAGCAGCTGGTACCCAGATACACTGGGACCCCAAGAGCCGCTCTCTCAGTAAGGACCAAAAGATGACGTTTTCAGATAAGGAGAGAGATTCTTGTTTAAAACGCTTTTACAAGATCAAAAAATTAAAAGTCCTATCCTGTAAGAGGGAGAAATGGACAGAGTGGGCCAGAGGGTCAAGCTTGAAACCTGAAAGGCCCATTTCCCAGGTACCCAAGGCCTTGTCCACACAAAAAGGGCTGAGTGCCTAACATGACGCTGGGTACCTCACCCAGGTCTCTGCCTGTAGTGCTCCTCACTACAGACCCTTAATTTCCCAATGATCTGTTCCCAGTGATTTCAAACCAATTCTGACATACATTAGTCCTGCCGAGGAGGTCAAGAACGAAACAGTATCCCAATAGGAAATCAGCTGAACACTGATCTATAAAAATGTAATTACACCCACTTCTAATACATTACTACAAAATTCTACCACTATTTCGCTTATGTTGAAAATCCTTTTCTTTAAATATGCATTACAAATGGCTGAAGAAAATAAACCTCAGATGGAATAAGGGAATAAGTGATACTGAATTAGTCCTCTAAAAAAGTCCTATAAGTTTACTCATTCGTTGCCTCCTCCCATATTCATGTATATGCTCCATGCACAGAGGTTTCCCTAGTAAGCACTTCAGTAGCCCAACATTTTGCCCATCTCAAGAATGTCACAGGGTCAGAACAGACCCAAAATACAGACACAGCTGATAGGGGCTTTAGAACAAAGGTGGTATTCAGTATCCAGTATCTTCTCTAAGTCCACACCAAATGACAGTAACAATTCATTTGACATCTGCAAAGGTGGGAGGTGCCTTTATAATCAGTGTGATTTTATTCAGTGTTATTAACCCTCAAAACAGAAAATAGCAAAACTAATTTCCCTTCCAGAGTTAACACTGAATATCTAAACTCCCCCAACCCACGGTTCTAGCACATACCTGGTCTGGCAATTCTGTCAAGCTTGTCCACGCTGGGGGAGGGGAGCCGTATCCTGGGACTGCTCGGATTGGAGTTGTCTGACCCCATGTCACAGAGCGAGTCATCAGCAGTGAGTAAGAGCTCTTTCACACATTTGTGGCAGATACTGTGCTGACAGGGGAGAATCAAGGGGTGGGTGAACAGCTCCTTGCAGGCTGGGCAAACAAGCTCTCTCTCGATATTCTTAATGGTAACCTTCATGAGAAAAAGAAATCACGTCAAAGGTTCTCAGGGGATAAATATATTAACACACTTATACTTTTTGTGTACCTGTATCTACCTTTTCAAAAAAGCAAATTTTTAACTGGGAAATTCTGTACCATCAGCATTCCCTCCAAGGACAGTCAGGAAATGAAGTGGCTTTAAAAAAATAAAGCTTAGGCCCTCCCTGGTGCCGCAGCGGGTTAAAGCACAGCACTGAGAATCTAAAGCCGCTTCCTCATGAGTTCGATTCCTGCCTGCCCCGGAGGTGACCACATGGCGTGGCAGACCTCTCCTGACCCGCCCGCTGCTCCCCTCAGCAGTGTACTTCGTCGATCTGCCTGTTCTGTTCCCCGCTCTGTCTCTGGTGAAGCCTCTCGCTGCCCCTGAGCCTCTGGCCTGTACCCCAGCTCTGTATGCACAAATAAAATAAAATCTTTAAAAATAAAAAAAAATAAAGCTTAAATATGAGAAAATTAAACGAGTAGGGGACCATGAAAGTTGAACGACAATTATGCTTATTTGAAACTTAGTGACTCCCTGATTTAGAGCTTTAGTGAAATCCTAAAAGCATGGAGCTTCAATAAAAATTAAGACTGTAGCACTAAAAAGAAACTGTCCTTGCATTTAATACATGAATTATGTGACTGGCAAATTACACAACCTGGTAAAAACTTAGTTGACCAGTGGGCTTGGAAAAAATGCTGAAATCTTTGGAAACTAAGTTATCAACAGGGTTCTGCATTCAATGGGATGCTTTTTCATATGCTGCAGAAGTAACACAGGAAAAATGCTTGAGATTCTCAGACTGCAGATTAAAGCAGTTACTTAAAAACACTTATATTAAAAGGGTGTAGGAAATTGGAAGACACCATTTGTAAGTGCTCTCAACACCACAGGCTTGCCTTACCTTCACTGAGAAACATTCTAGACTCAGTACAACTAAAAATATATGGACCTCATACCAGTTTGCCCGTTCTTACCCACGGAGCTTCTCTATCAAGGAGCCCAAAATTGCCAGGCTAAGAGCCTATATTTAGTATCCCTGGAGTTCTAAAGATAGTCTAAAGTCCTCATAAGCTTTCTACAGTCATTTCGACTACTGAAAATACACAGAAATTCTAAACTGACCTAATTGGCTAGTTTTAATGAAATACAAATGTATGCAAGTTCATTCTAAAACGCCACAGAGGGTTTCAATAGCTTTATTAATTAACCACTGTCGGTGGGTCTTTCACTGCAGCATCGCTGACTGCATCACCCAATAAATATTTAATAAGAGCCCTCGTGTCACGATTTTCATAAATTTGGATGCAAGACAGACCCAGCTCAACAAGTCACATAAAAGAATACAGAACAGTCACATCTGTCGCATTGCAAGAGGGCGAGTTAACACATAACTCAAAAGCTTCTCTCCCGCGGGAGATCTACAATCACGTCCCATGCCACCTGCACTTCATGCAATACAGAACCTTCCTAATCGCCACAGATACAAAATATTCTTACTCCAAAAGAAAATGAGTGTGCATTCTACATTCATCGAGGGGAAACAATCTGATTAAGAGAAACGTGACGGGGTGGGCCCCAAGACCAAGCTGTCTGAAAACAGATGAGGAAACAAGTTCAGCACTGTGGCTCCGAAGCCTTCAAACAAAAACAGCAGCACCCCAAAAGCTGCTGGAACGAGCCCGCCTCCCGCCAGCCGGCTGGGCTTGGGCGGAGCCTCGGGTGGCGGGCACGGGGCAGCGCTGCCCGCGGGGGTCGCCCCGAGCGCCGCAGACAAAGGGCAGCCGGGCGGGCCCACGCGGGACACGCGCCCCGAG